CCAATCAAAATAAATATGACCGGTTACCGGTTATCGTATCGATGACCGGTTAATAACCGGAAATGACCGGTTAATAACCGGTAACCAATCGAAGCGGTTCGCGAACCCTGATTTAGCTACTTGCCATCCACAGCACTCCAGCTGGATATTTAAACTGTACATACAGTACTAGTACATTCTTTTCATTAGTATGCAGGTACCTGAGATTTTACAAATGCTAGCTAGCTTGTGCTAGTAACAAGTAATACACTCCTATAAATATTATCTTGATAATTATACTGATTTTCTTTACAGACATAAAAAATTCAATGAATGAGGTCATCGTCCCTCAAAAAAAGATCTTTCGCAATTCCAGCTCATTTTTCTTGTCTCCCAAGACTTCAACGGAGGCCAACTATCAACACTGATGACCCGCCGCTGCTGTTGAAGCTCTGGTTAGCTAGCTAGTATTCAACAACCTGCCGAAGCTTTCCAAGCTGAGGTACGGATTCTTTGTGACGATCTGCCCGCCTTATTTTCCTTGTTGCTGCCACTGGGCTCACACATTCAAAACCCTCGATCTTGTACCCCCTTCAGAAGTCATGAAAGTCACTGTCGCCGTTGGTATTCTCATCAATCTGGTGTCTCCTGCTCGAGGCAGCTTTTTGCGTCTGCTTCAAAAGGCCGCCGAAGACAATTGCGAATATGACTTGGTGAACTGCCAAGACACACTGGCCATTTGCCTTGGTGATGATGATGTGATGGAGAGTGCCGGTGGCATGGACGATGATAATATTGCATTGGAAGGGAGCCCTTCTTTTACGTTTGTTCGCCCTCCTCCTCCTGGTGACAACACTTGCGAAGGAACTGACCCAGACTTTGAATCTATTGCGTGTATGATTGACGGGGTCGTCAATGCCCTGGAACAAGCTGGAGCAAATGTGACGGAAGGCTACGTCGGCGAGATCGAAACTGAAGCAGTGCCGATCACCTCTACCTTCTTTGAAGCTGGTCTTTGTCCCGTCAACGTCCACTGGCACCGTGGCACGGAGCATTATTCTTTGGGTCAATACGATGAAAATGGATCTGGTCCAACTCGTGAACTCGATGAAGGTTTCCATGGATCTTACCCAGAAGATGAGGCTCGTCTTGGCTACGAGTGCAGCCTCTACGATGAAACCGACCCCAAGTTCACAACACCATATGACTGGCAATACTGCACGAGCATGACAGTTGGTGAAACCTATGAAATTCACTGGCCACATTCCAGTGCTGGTGCTTGTGGCACCCTGAACCAGTACCAGACTCCATTCCAGGATGGTGTCTTTTGTAAATCCGATGAAATTGAGCTTGACCCCCTTTCGCTCACCGTTGGCGTGCAGGCCCAAGTGTTTGTCATTGTCAACGATGAAACCTACTTCTATCCTCAGATGATGCGTGGTATGCTTGTTGATGGCGAGATGGGCAAATATGTCACCAAGTACACAGGTTCCACAACTGGCACATCATTCAACGACGAGATTTGTTCCGCCTACACTCCCATTACGTGGCAAGTAGACCGAATGTGCCATTTGATTTCAGCAAGTTCTATTGACAAGCTGTGCGCTGACATGCTTAGTGAGAGAAATGACATGTCTGGAGACACCCAGCCTCATGGATCACGTGAGTTGGTTCCTGACGATTTGGCTGCAAACAACCATCAAAACAGGGCCTTTCGATACTAATAAGAGTCTACGTGGGTGACGGGAAGGTTGTGTGTGCACAATCTGTGGTATTGGTCACACGCCAGTATTATTTGCGAGGGGAGTCAAACGCTCCACTAGTCGTCCGTAGCTTATAACTCGACATATTTGGAAAACTTGCTTGTAGCCACTCTTGGTCTCTGCAACCAAGAAGGATTTGTTGAACTTGCTGACTGGTGGCTGAAATGGAGAAGAGCAGGTCGTCGAGCCAATGAGTGGGCCTTGGCGGTTCGAGCGATGAGTGACCTCTTCGTATCTTGTCAACCAATCCTCCATGGGTCTTCAGCTTGCCATGGTAGTTGACGAATGAAAAACAAATACTAAATAGATACGTTAAGGAGCGAGGGGGGCGAAGCTAGGCAAAGCAGTGGCGGCGGTGGTGGGTGGCTGTTGTGGTGGGCGTACGGGGAGAGCAATGAGGACACGGGCAGGGCAAAAAAAGGGGGGGCAGGGAAGGGGGGTGCATGGAGGAAAACCAGGAAGGAGAAGGGAGCAAAATTAGTGGAAGAGTGCAAGTGCACCATCGGCATCCCAGAGAGAACGATGGTATTAATAGCTCATTGTGCCAGCAGGGACACGAGAGCCACGCATGCAGAGGTGGCGGGCCCAAAGAATAGCTAGGCTGAGCCGATCATTAACGTAGCCACGCACCACTGAGTAAGGGCGTTCCCACTTTCCAGCGAGCAAAGCGGAAATACGTTTCGCGATAGTTGACGTGGTAAATGCAACATTCTCCGCTGGAGAGGAATGAGGTGGAGCCATGTTGGGCGGCGGAAATCTTGAATAGGAGAGCGTAGCAAAGCAGGTGGTAGCAACCGTAGTCAGGGTGGTAGTGGCTGCATCTGAACCTGGCTAGCTAGCGATGAACGAAACAAAACACACTGTAGCAAATGGAACACGATGGTGAGTGACAGTCATGGTTTTGGAGATACCGTACCACGGTACCTGGTGGCACCGGTACCACGTACTGTACTGTTCTAGTAGGGGAACAAGTGGTTCGAAGAATGGAAAGCTAAGGATGACGTCAGAAAATTGCCTAAGGTTAGGGAAAATGTGCCTCCGAAATCCGAAATGGGCGTTGAGGTTGGATGATCAAGATGCGAAGACACTTGACACAAACTGCACCACGTCAACTCTTCTCGCCATGGGAAAGAAGGATCCAATGCTGCCGGCTGTTTGCCATCATCAACTGAGAACCGGTACGGTACGGTCTTGGAGTCTTCCAGCCCTGAACTGTCCACAAATAGCGTTGGTAGCTCTGAAGCAGGATCTACCCCCTTCCCAAGGTTCTACCCACCGCGCCGCCTGTCACAAGATAACCAAAGATGAAGCCTGTTTCCTTGATTCTGTCATTGCTACTGTTGGGGCCCTTGGCAGAGGCGTTTCAGTCAGCCCATGGGGTGTTCTCGAGTAGAACATTGAGCCACGATCAGAAGAGAAATGAGAAGCATTTGACGGTATTGGCATCCACCAAGAATAGCACCACCGAAACAGAAGAAAATCTCTCTGGTCTCGTCAATGGGATGCTCAAAACACACCGAGAGATGGCCAAAGAAGTGGCGGAACTCAGTGCGCTCAACAAAGAGGACATGCCAAAGCCAGGAACCGACGGCATCTACCGAATGGTCAATGAAAAGCAGTTCCGGTGCGTACCGTATACCATAAAGAAGGGGGCCAGATGGATAAAGATTGGGGCCTGATTGGACCATACCATATGCCAACTCTTCCTCACACATCCCCTTTTTCGTTGTGCAGAAACTTTTTGACGGGCCATTCCGATCAGCTGGTGATTGTCAAGTTCTCGAGTCCCTTCTGCAAAGCCTGTAAAATGCTCAAACAAAAGTTTCGTCTTCTTCATCAAGACCCCAAGTTCCAGGGCGCACCAGTAGTGATTGGAGACATTTCCCTATCCAACAACAAACATGCAAAAGTGGTGGATCCGTTTGCTAACTTCGTCACGTCCGAACTGAAGGTCTCAAAAATTCCAACCTTGCATTTCTATGTTGCTGGAGAACTCGTCGAGACCATTGAATGTGGACCTGAAGGGTGCGCCTGGACTCGACTCAAACCGCAAATGGTGGACATTGTGGACCAGTGGCGTCCCGCCTTGTTGTCGTCAGAGGAAGTACCAGAAGTAGAGAAAGAACAATCGTCTTCTGACGCCGCAGAAGAAGACAGTATCCCTGCATCGTCCAAATCCATGCAGCAGCGAATCCAATCCTTCTTTTCAGGTAAAAGGATGGACGCTTGAGGCCACAACGACAACACTCCATGTCAGAATACATGCTTCCAGTGTACAATCCAACCTCAATCAATTGAAACGAAGCAACAGTCTGAGCACATTACGAGTTGAAAATTGATGGCAATCTTCGTTCGGACGTTGGTGCCATTGTAGCTCTTGAAATAAGAAGAATGCCAATGGAACAAGGTCGCACAAAACAAGGCACATAATATACGCGCAGCTTTCCAGAGGGGGAAATGAAACGACTTCTTATGATCATAGATAACAATATCCTCCTAGGTCAAACCAAAGACAATCGCAGCCAACCACAGAGCTGTCCTGAGCAGTTAAATCGCATGAAAAGCATGTAAGTGCAGATGCCCATCCGGCACTGGGGTGGCATCTTCAAATCAATTCCAACAACCCCAATTCTTCAGGGATTGCACCAATGAGGATCTGGCTAGAGAGGAGAAAGACAATCACTTGAGGTTCATACTAATTCTCTCTGCCTTCTAGCTAGCTAGATCTCTAAGTGTACGTGCATCGGGCAGCCATTGAGTGGATGCCTCACCACTCACCGCCGTGCTGCTTGAGAGCTACCGGTACGTCGCGAGCATAAAGAGTTTGAAAGCTGATTAAGACTACTAGTCTACCTTGGACTTGATTTGTCACCCCTGCCTAGTGGAAAGATGAGAGACGGTAGCATATTTGCAAGTTGGTACTATGATCAGAGAAGACCGACGACGCCAACAAGGCCAAGGCAACGGGAATGAGGAGAACAATGACGTCTGGAGTTTTGATCGAGAGCAAAGCATCTAGTAGACTAGCTTGCTTGTGACGGATTGCTACCAGATGCTAGTCTGGCTGGTACCTAACGGCGGATAGATATCTTGCTCCCAAAGCTCAAGCCCTTTTGCAATGACTCACTGTCCCTCTACAATGCTCCTACTCCCAGATGATGCTCTACACCAAGATTCAGCTCTCCACTGCCCTACTGAGTACTCTAGCTAGCCAGTCAAGGCCTTTGCGCTCATGCGTCCAGCAAAATCAAGCTCCCCTCAGCCAGGTGGAATGGTAAATGAAATATATCTTAAAGCTGCGGATTTTTAAAAAGCCAGCAGGCTGCTTGATGCACGCACGTAGCCGAGTCAGAGTAGACTAAAGTCAAGTAAGAACCAAAGTACCGTCGAAAAAATAGCCGCTGACGCTAAAGGCCCCGTCATCCGTCATTGCCTCGAAAATTGGACCAAGAATGACGGACTTTTCCACTTTGTTTGATGCTTTGAACAATCCAGTTCCCACAACTGATTGGTCTATCACCAAGGGCCAGCCACTAGAGATGGCGCTGATGGCCAAGGCGGGTGTGGAATCTATCGAAATTTGCTATGAATTTTACCCAGAAGCTCTGACCAAACGCATGTTCACCAATGTCGTCAAACATGGAGCCAAACCAGGAGTTGTCGGATTTCTTGCCTCAAAATGCCCTCACTTGGTCGATGACCAGGTTCTACAAAATGAAGCGGATCGAGGGCCAGGGAATGACAGTGATGGCACTCAGTATTCCAATTTGTTCGACGCTATCAACAATCCACTGCCCTCTTGTGATTGGAAAATCTCAAGCCATCAACCTCTAGAGTTGTTCCTGATGGACAAGGCTGAGTTGGGAACCATCAAAGCTTTCTATGAATTCTTCCCGCAAGCTCTGACCAAGCGACTCTTCGTGAATGTTATCAAATGTGGAGCCAAACCAGGAGTCGTTGGGTTCCTTGTCACAAAACGACCTGACTTGGCTGACACAAGTGCTTTTGAATTGGCGGTGATGCAAGGACCAGGACCCAGTCGGCCGACTGACAGTGAAATCTACATGATGGCTTCGGCAAATAACCCAGAACTGCTGGTACCAACAGGTCCAAATTTTTGGATGCCTCCAATTTGGAGTCACATTTTGAACTGGAAATACAGCCCAGAATTGACCCGAAGTCTCTTCAAAATGATTGTGGGCACGACAAAAGCACTCCGTTTGCGCCCCAATATATTCCATGACTTCACAGACTTTCCTTGGGTTGTGATTGATGAACACTCGACAACGAAACGGAGCGCATTGGATATGGACGTGGTATTGAGTATGACTCCAATGCTGAACAGCCACAGCATCCGATTTGCTGGCAGTGGGGGCAACAAATGGGAACCTGATGCCTTTTTGGAATTTTTCAGCAAAATCCTATCAAAACAGGACATTGATACAATAGATCTCAATTTCCCAAATCTCTCACAAGAGCACCAGGAAGAAGTTTTATTTTACTTTACCACAGATGAGTTCAATCAGCTGCTGTCAACGTGCAAAGTCAAGAAGTTGGGTCTGAGGATACATTGCTGTCCACTGCTAGGCACAGTCAATCCACCTTTTTTGCCTTCATGGAACATTGTATTGGTTCCATGGTGTCTCTGGAGCATTTGAGGCTATGGTTTGATTGTGATGTAGCTGCTGTAGCACCGACCATTGGTCGCTTTCTCTGCAACACTTCCTTTTTGCAGAGATTGAGTATTCAAGCATCAAGCGACAGAAGTGCAATGGGGTTGGATCCGATACTTGATGCACTGAAGAGCAATCACACGATCCAAGTATATCACTACAGGCAGCCCGGTGATCGTCCAGAAAAGTTCAAGAGATACCAGGAGGTTCTCGCAGCTATTCTCCAAAAGTCCAATACAACCCTTGAATATGCAACTTTCAGCGATGGCGTCACTCAACAAAATCCTCTTGGCAATCTCTGCTCTTCTGTTCTTCCAAGCGAACACTTGCTGCCATTCTACACATGGCTCAACTGGATGGGACGAAAAAAAGCACGGTGTCAAGCGACAACCAAGACAGAATTTGTGGATCTGCTGGTTGCAGTCAATGACTCAGAATTTGTTGTTGGTCGTAACAGCGACAATCCAAATGGCACCCGTTGCACTGATGATGATAAATTCAACATCATTTATGGGCTTTTGCACGAAAATCCAGCCACTTGGAGTCTTCTACCCAACAAAACCGAGTGCAACACAAACGGTCCTGGTTGTGGAAGCAAACGAAAGCATACTGCCATCTCCTGATTCGATTCAGTCCGGGTGGTGTTTGTGCTGGCGATGTCGTTGAGTAATGCTCTGCGCTCCAAGGATTGGCTGGTTATGTCCGCTTCCAGCCAGCTTTATACTGCAGATTTGTGTGTGGAAAGAAACTATAGTATTGTTTAGGCGATCATCTAAGTTCACGTACTCATACTCATTGGTCAATTGTGTAGTTTGCTGGCAACGGTTCAAAGATGGGTGGATGGATGAATCGGATCCAAGCCCGTTGACGGAAACCCCCAACCGAGCGTTGATTGATTGTCCAATGCCGGTACGGTACTTCAGCCAACGCCCTCGCACTTTTTGATGCAATCCGGCGCATCTAACTGTCATTGCTTGTGCCTTGAAGTTGTGGCTCCAATGTGCTGAAATATTTGGTCCACGGTCGTTTTGGGATCGATATTCTTGCCCATCAATAACGACTCTATTAGCTGTTCCCGCCAAGACGGATCTGTTGCTGTCGGCTTTGGTTCTTGTTGGAGCGACAAGATGTGATTGACGACCCGTGCAGCATCTAGACGCGTCCCGCATCGTTGGGATGCCACGGCGAGACTTGGTTCGGGTGCATAGGTTTGGTGATACCAATAGGGAGGAATGATGAGCAATTCACCTGGATGTTGTACGACTGCAACGACGGCGGAAGGACTCGGCTGCTCTCGTAGTATCTTGCCAATATCGTCGTGAGGAGCCAGATAGTTGGTGGAGCGAACCATGTCTTGCAAAAACTCCTCGGCCTGTGATTCTGTCATTTCGGCTAACTGTCGTGCCGAGAATCGTGTCTTGGCGGCATGGGGAGAGCTGTCACCATCATTGTCGTTGTAGAGAGAAAGGTCGCTTTGCCAGCCAGCACTAATGGTGATTGCGTCCTCGTCGTGGTCCTTCCTGTCGTCGTGGCCGCCGTTATTGTCGCCTTTTTTCCACGCCATGGAGTTTAATCGGTAGGAATCCAAGTAATGGTCCCATTGTAAATGATCCAGCACATGTCCTGGTGCCTCGTGAGGTTGCAGAAAACGCCATAGTTTGCGTCCTTCCAGACACAAACTGGTTCCGGTCCACTCGAAAGGATCTCGATGCAACGTGGACGTGGCCCCTTCTCCCGCCAAGACGATGCAGTCGGTGGGTGGATTGGGAAAATAGTCAAACCAATTTTCGCCGTCAGTAGGAGAAAACACGTTTTCTCGTGCCGCCACGAGGCGATCCTTAAGTGCTCCTTGTCGTAGTCGTCCTTGATCTAGCAATCCTTCCACAAAGGCAAAAAAGGCATCACCCGGTTTGGATTTTAGCATGATCCAGTCCAAGGATTCTTGAACGGTGCAGTCGTAGAGTGTGGTTGTGTGATCGTGCTGCCGTTGTACGGTAATCTGTTCGTCTCCCACTGTTTCCATCCACTTATCGCAAATTTCTTCGCAGATGGACGGATCCATGGCGTTCGTAATGAGAATGGGACGATCCAACACATCCTCTTTGCTTTGTTGTTTGGACTGGAGCTCTTGGACTGTCATGCGCTCGACATGGTCAAATCGAAGCAGAGGAAATGTGGGTGACTTGGAGGATAATGATAGTGCGTTTGAGTGGGAAAGTAAAAGGAAGATGATGCTTCTTGGCACCCAAGATAACGAAAAAGGTAGCATTATTTGCTGTCTCATCCCTGACACCTAGCTATGGCAAGCCGTTCATTCTCGAGATAGCCAGTATAAAAAATGATAAAATTTAATATCTCAGCAGGTACAGATGGTTGGTTGCGCAGTTATTTGTGGTTTTGTGCGCTAGTAGCGCGGTTGTTGCTGCTTTTCTTGTTCTGGACCCTTGGATCTTTTGGATCTTTTGGATCTTTTGGATCTTTTGGATCTTTTGGATCTTTTCTTGACACCCCCATTTCGGCCGGAAGTCATTCAATCGAATTCTCAGAAAGGAAACAGAACTACATGTACAAATACGTGTATCCCTGCAGACAGTGGACCATCTGCTTCCTTTCAAGTTGACGACTGTCACTCGACTCTCTTTTGACAAAGTTCAGCTACTAGCTAGCTAGTACAGTTTGTGGGGCTCCCGGCAAGCTCTCTTGACGTGGATGGATACAGCCAGCCAGATTGCAAAATCTTCCTCAAGGCTAGTAGAGTTTGATGTGGAAGAAGCATCCCACTATAACTTGAAAGGGCGGAACATCTAGCTAGCAAAACAGGCAAACGGTTGCGGTGTCGGTATTGTGGGATCTTATGAGAGTGCCAGCATTGTATGTAGGTCGGGGGTGGAAACGTTTCAGACAAAGACGCAACCAGCAAAGGCGTTGATAAGGCAGGTTGTGGCTGCCCTTCTTGCGTCTTTTCTAGGGCTCCCAGACTACTACCAGTCGATGGGCCAACGGTAGATCCCAAAATAATGATACACATTTCTCTAGCTAGATCTACAGTGTGCATACTAGCTGTGGCGTTGAGGACAACCAAAAGTACTCGTACGGGTACCGGTACAGGTGTTGGGACCGCCCGAGAACACCCTTGCGACCTACCGGTACGTACGACTATTTGTGTCGGTGCCGCTACCGATAGCGACGAAATTAGGCTCCCAGCAAGTCTGAATCTTTCTTTGTTCTATTCAGAGAGGCGCCCTTGCATGATGAACAAGCCTTGATATGTCCTCTTCATCATCTTGGCCAACCGGGGCGCATCGTGATGAAAGCTGGGATCTGCAGTCAAGCTTTCTTCTGAACGTGTATGCAGCTTGTGCTGCCTTGTATCTTTCTGGAAAGGTCTCCACGGTGGATGTACCGGTCTCGTACGCGGTACAGTACCACCAGTACCGCCAACAACCATGAAAACAAGTCCCCAAGTCAGAGCTTTTGTCCAGGCCAAAGAAGGTCAAAGCTCCTCCTGTTATCCATCTATTTGAGGAAAGGCGGGAATGGCAACAAGTTAGCCACCCCAGCCCAAGGAATGCTGTCATCCCGTTATTTGCTAATCTGTTGACAAAAAGATCGAGCAAACGACATCGTTCTGTATACGGAGACAAGATGTTCCGTAAACGCACCCACCAACATGGACCAACGGGACCACTAAATACATCCCCTTCCAACGGCAGTAAGGATATTAGTCACGCAGGAGGCGAACATTCCAAGGAAAAGGCCAAAAGACCAAGCTTGCTTCGAGATGGCTTCATTTTGCTATTTGCTTTCCTGGCCCCCATTGTTGTTCTGGAATTCATCAGTCCAACCAGAACACCCCCACCCCAACAGCAACAGCAGCACCCCCCACCAAGATGGACTGGTTTATTGAACATGTTGACCAATCCAATGAGCTTGTTCAATCCTCGAGAGAAGGGCACTGACTCTGGAGCAGCTACCTCGACCACTACGCCTGCTGACACCAACACGGCAACACCAGCAGCTATTAGTAGCCCCTCCACTACTACCGCCGTTGCTGCCAACTCTGTCTCTTCCCCCGCCACTCCAATACCATCCCAAAAGCAACAAGAACAGCCAAAATCGACAACCAAAGGCTCTATCCTGGGCCCACCACCTCCACCCCTCACGGGCAATGATACCTTGGATAAGAAGATTGCCTACGTCGTCCCATTCTGGAGTTGTGGGGAGAATTCCAATACTGCCAATGTTGAAGCCGTCATGATCTTACGACATTCCATTCATCAACAATCCGTACGGAATCCAACCTCAGGAAGTTCCTTTGATTATCAAATGTACGCTCTAGTCTTGAAAAGCAAAAAGTGTCCTACAGAGCCCTTGAAGGCGTTAGGATTCAAGGTTGTTCCCGTCGATCCACCCGTCATTCACGAGAAAATTCAAAGTCAACATGTTCGAGATAATATTGGAAAATCGGGTGAAGGTGGAATCTTGCAGTATATTCAGCTATTGGCGCATTCCTCGGGCGATGTGATTCCAGAACCCATCGTCGTGCTCCTCTATCCCCATTCTCTCGTCCTGAAACCACTCGATGAACTATTCCTCGCCATGCTGCATGGACCGGATACTCCACAAGGACAGGCGGCACGAGCCCATTTGCAATCCAAGCTGGAACGACCTCACGACAATTTGCAACGTGAAATCCATCACTACATTGTCAGAGATTATCCCAATTCGGGATACGGTCGCAAACCCGTGGTCATGACACCAGGTTTTTGGATAGCCAGACGCAATCCAGCCTTGCTGGAAACGGCCATTAAACTGGCGTATAACACCAATTATGTCAGTGGCAATGGACCGACGTCTGGATGGGATGGCAAGGGATATACCACCTATTATCGACATGGCTTGTCCTTTCCAGGAATCTACACCTACTTGTTGGATGAATTCTATGCCGGCTCTGTGGTCGAGTTGGATGGATGCAAGTTCAGTCACAACGGCATGGATAATCTGTTCCGGGCCGCACCACGATATCATCCCAGTCAAAAGGAACATACCGGTGAATGTCGGAGTGCCGAGAAGGAATGTGGTGATTGTACTACGACCGACATTCAATCCATTTACACCATTAATTATGGCAGGACCTGTGAGTTCTACTGGTTCAGTACTGTTGCTGCTGGCTGCTATGCTCGAATGTTGCTTTTTGGCTTGCTGTATGCTGACCCTTTCTTCCTCTTTCTGCTGTTTTGCTCCTTTCACCCGTTGACTACTCATGTTGTGACTGCCAGGCTTCTCACCACACCGATGTTACGGAGAAGGTTCCATGGGAGGGAATCATTTGGAGATGATAAATATCCAATCAACAACCGTCGAGCATTGCATGGTCTTACAAAAAGAATGGCATGGCCTTCGCAGTTCCGTCGAAGATGTGCTTTTGACGCAACCCGGTTTTGAGCTATTGTCGGAAGGTCGCAAGGGCGCGTACAAAACCGAAATCTTCCACGGGCACTGTACCGGTCATGGTGAAGATTCCAAAATGGCGTTGACAGTGGAAAATGTACCTCGCGTCAAGGAATTCTTGTGGGATGGTTGATCATGATACCGGTAGAATGAAAGTGGAATGACGACAACCAGTCAGCACTGAGATGACAAATTGGAAACCTTTGGCTGGTGGTTTCCTCTAGCAACGTTTTGTATCAAAACGTGGCTCTTCTTGATTCTAGCTAGAGAAGCAAGCGATGATGGACAGCCAAGCAGGTCTGCTAGGAATGAAGCAAAAGAAAAACAAAAAAAACTTGACGAGAGCAACAGTAGCCGTGTGTCAATCAACCCGACAACCGATTGCAGCAGCATGACAGGGTGAGTGTCTTCTTTGCTCTCTGAGACAACCGAGCTGTGCCCATAGCGACATCCCTCTCTCTGACAGTCGAGCTTTGCTTATAGCGACAGCCCAATCGTACCGGTACTGGTACGGCTTGGTCGGATTGACTGCTTGGGGACGAAGCAATCTGCTACAGCTGTAGATTGGTTTGTACCCATTACAAACGTTTTCTAATTTTTAGTAGTAGACTCTTGTTTGCTCTTTACAGCTCTGTGTTTCTGGGTTTCGTACTTTTGGTTTCTTGTCCGTGCCTATCGGTCTGTCTTTATTCGTGCCCTGCTTGTGGTGTTTGTTTCTGGGCGTGTCTTGGTTTGTGCTTTTGTCGCGTCAGGCTTGTGGCTGTTTCGCCCCTGGTGGCTTCTGAGTTTCAATCCTGCCTATTGCAGTGTCCCGAATCATCGTTGCATCCTATCATTCGTCCTAGCTTGCCTCCTTTCCTGCGTCTGCTCGTTTACATCGAGAGCTAAATTCCTCCAAGGTCAATCGTCCCCGGAAAAGCTTACAGAACTCCCGATGCTTTGGCCACCCAGTAATCTGACACTCTTTGGAGAAGTATTCCATAGCCTCACACTTGACACACCACTTGGTGTCAGTCACCTCTTTGAAGCAGTGGCCACATTCGCGGAATTCTGGCTCTTCAAACACTTTCTGTTTCAAGTCTACCAAACAGTCACAGGGGATCTTCTTGTCCAAGTACGCAACAACATCTCGCTTGCTGCCACAGTGCTTGACAAAGCGCCAGTGCAAACGATTCATTTCATCACGGTACAGTCCGAACTGATGCTTTTCAACAGTATGAGGACCACTGGCCTGCATGATGTCACCAGCCTTGTCGAGCCAAAAGGCTGTCCGAAAACTCCGTTTTGCACTCAGCCACCATTCCAGTTTTGGAGTCTCTTTATATATCTTCAGAAAGTCTACTGCGCAGCAATAGAGATACGGGACAACCTTGGTGCGATTTCGGAGAATTTTAGGAAAGCGCCAAAGGAAGCTCTGGAGCATCAACAGGCCAACGTCCACGGCTGGATACTCAAGAGCCGCATCCAAAAATTCATCAATCTCTTCAAGAGTAAGGATTCCTTCAATCTCGTTTTCAGAAAAGCCATGAGGACAAGATTGGTAGTCTTGAGGAATTCCGATTACGACACCCTCGGCGTTAAACTCAATGGTACGGTTGAACCGGTAGGGACTTTCGAACTTCTTCTTTGGCTTGTCGGCTTCAATGGTTGAGACTTGAACAGCTTCGTTTCCTTTTCCCTCACCTGTTCCTTTCTTCTTGTTGTTTTTGTTCTTTTTCTTGTTGTTGTTGCGTTTGCTCTTCATGATGGTGGTCTTGTACCGTAGGGTCCACCAAGCGCTGTTCGAAAAAGAGAAGGCAGAGGAGAAAAGCGATTGAGCGATCGATAGCTTGACGATGGACACGTTGAGACGTCGGCTCTCCTTTCCCTTCCTTTCGTGGACGTCCTTCCTTTCGCTCCTCTTACTCTTTCTTCTTGTCTCAACCTTATCCGTTCTCTTGGTGGACGCTGTCTCCTCCTTTGACGGTTGTTGTGGAGAAGAAGTGAGGAGGAGGAAAAGTGAAGCAACGAAAACCTCCAAAAACAATGACGCTGAGGGTTAGAGCTTCAAACACCCCAATTTTAAGATTGTCATGGCCAAACATCAGAAACTCACACTCTTGCTTGGGTCCCTCTCCTGACAGCAAGGATGGAGAAAGGGCTTCTACCGTAGACAGAGAAAGATTAGCAACGAAGAGCGCTAGCTAACAAGCAACTGTCAGCAGCACTATAGGCTTGCAACAGGGTGACGCCATAGCATCTAGCTAGCCATTTGGCAAAGAGCGGCAGAACAGAGATCCCAAACGCTGCTCAGTCACAAACTCAACATGACAGGCAAGGCCACAAGAAATGCAAGAACGAGAACAACGCATTGGATCTTGTAGTAGCTACTGCATGTACCGGTAGCTAGCTAGCTGGGATCAGAAGTTGGATTTGATGCAGACAGCCAAAGATTTCATAACCTGTTTCCTCATGTTCTATTTTCTTTCTGACCACAAGCATCCATCGAATGTGCATTGTTGCCTTTTTCTCTTACTCCATCTAGTCTAGTCTATTAATAGTTTCTCTGCGGAGTGTCTCCCAAAATCGTTGCTGTATTAGTTAGTTAATAGGCCGTCATTTGGCTCGCACGGTCGTGACGACATCCTCCCACGTCTTGCAGGGAATGGCCCATTGATAGGCAGGTTCTACTTGATCTCGTCCAAAAAGGTAAATGGTTCCGGGATAATCCGTTCCACAAAATGTGGGAACCTTGGGATTGTCATCGACAATTGCGTGTACTTGAGGCCACAGTTGATGGAGTGCTTGTGCCTTCCACTGATTGCCTTGTTCAAACGGCACGGGATCGGGTTTGGCCACAATGGGCAAGTCTGCTGGAAATCCCGATTCTTGCAACCATTGACGAGTATTGGCATTGACCTTTTGAGGACGGACCGTCAGATATCCGACAATGTTGACATTATTGCTTGCCAAGAGTTGTTGGACGCCTTGTACGGCTCCTGGAATGAGTGGCAAATTATCTTGTGCTTCCGGGGCTTCTCGTTGTTCATGCATCCATTGGGTGGCATCGGGATTGCCGTTCCAATGTGGATTGTGTTGTGCCAAATGATACTTGTCAATGAGTTGTGGCACGTTCAGATTCGTGTCTTCTTTACTGCATCCAAAGAGATGCAAACAGCGTTCGAACCAAGCCACATTGGTGGCCGCCAAAGTTTCATCAATGTCCAATACGAGACCTCCGCGAATGTTGGATTGTTCCAAAGAGGCTTTCAGCTCCTCTACTGTCATACCACTTGTAGTAGTTGTAGGTGAGCCGCTTGGACTTGTCATCTTGGTCGTCATGGTCAGATGCTTTGGATATTGGATTTCATGAAGTTGGAAGTGGATCTTTGGTAGAAATAGTATCCAGCGAGATTTAAGAGCGATGCACGACTTGGAGGTTTAGAGGTGAAAGATTCAAATCCAAAAAGAGACCTCCACACAACACAATGGCACAATCGCATTCTCCTCAAGACGCTGTGTTGTTGTCTCTCTGACTGTTGGATAGGGCATTTGTGTTATAGTAGACTAGCAGTGTTGAGCATGGTGTTTGGATTGGGTGGTGGCGCTCCCTCCAAACGAAAGGGTCGAGGAGGATTGAGTTACAGCATTCGCAATGCTCATTCTCCTCGGAGAGGCACAAGAAATACTTCTAGCAGTTCGACTGGCACCAACACTGGCTATCAAATTTTTGTCGTCTTGCTGACGGCCTGTATCACCACATTTCTCGTCAAGGCATTGGTAGGGGATTCGCAAAATATCAACGCCGTTTGGGAATCCAAAACTACAAGCAGTCATCCAACCAGGGAAGCCACAGCTTCCAGTCCAACCGCCACAGTGGCCTATGTGATTTCTTTGGTCAAATGCGGCGACAAACAATCCACATCGGCAGGACTGGTCGATGCCGCTTTGGTCATGCGACATTCCATTCACTTGCAATCCTTTCGACATACGATTGCCGGCAAACCCGTGTCCAAGTACGATTACAAAATGTACGCCATTGTGCATCGCAATGCCATTGACTGCAGTGTGGTACTGGAACAGGCCGGATTCACCATTGTTATCAAGGATCCACCCGTGCATCCCCACGAAATCAAAGGCAGTGATCATCTCAAAAAGCATATTCACAAGGAGGTGAGAAAACAGAACAGAACCCATGACTATAGTAGTGGGCTAATTGTGGGGCCCAATATTATACTCACAAACACACCTAACCTTGCATTTTACTTTTGTCATTCCACAGTGGTGCTGTGGACACGATGAATTTGTCAAACTCTACGCTTACGAATTGCCGGGAGATGAACCCGTTGTGGTTCATGTGGATATTGATTTTGCCTTTTATCAACCCATGGATGATCTCTACGACGCCATTGTCTTTGACAAGAACGATCCACGCGGACAAGTAGCACGCGCCAAAATACCCTTGGAACGACCGGACGATCCATTACCCGACAAAATTGATGCCTTTATTACGCGAGATTATCCCCAATTGTTGCCCGGACGCATTCCGGGATATCAAGCGGGATTCCTCGTGGCACGACGCGATACCACCATTGTCCCCCAACTCGTTGATGTCATTAAGAATCATCCCTACGATGGCGGATTCTCGCGAGAAAATGGATGGGGCAATGCCGGCTATGGTGGCTACGTTGGTGCCATGGCCATGCAGGGACTCGTCGCGTACTATTATGATGTCGTACGTCCCAATACCAGTTTGGAACTGAATTCCTGTCGCTTCAATCACATGGGCATGGACAATTTGTATCGAGCGCATCCCAATTTCAAAGCGCGCAGTGAATGGGTGGGCAAATGCCGGAGTACACGACCTGATTGTCAAGATTGTACCATTACCAATGACACGCAAATATACAATGTCCACTACACGCAATGTCGCAAACCCTGGAACTGTGTGTCGGAAGGAACCCCCGGCGGCAGCAAGGGCAAAACCATTGATACCACGACGGGGAAATTAGGTATGTTATGACAACAACAACAAACTATGCTGTGTTGGATCGGATTGACACTTGGTCCTTACACGTTGTTGCCTGCGTGTTTTTGCGTCAGAACATTGCCTTCCTCTCATCAAGAAATGGCATGATGTGAGAAAAGATTTGCAAACCAAATTGTACCAACTCAGCAAGGATGAACGCATTCTAGATGGATCCAAGGGTACCCACAAGAAGGATCTCTTTCATGGTCATTGTAGTGAAGAAGGGTCGACTGGATACTTGCAAATTCAAGCCAAAAATGAAACCTTTGCAAAACTACCCACTCTCTACGGTGACAAGAATCGTTAACGAGCTTGTTGGAACTGAAGAGCCACGTAACAACAATTTTCTGCTGTAATGAAACGACAACCCACACAAACGTGCCTGAAAACTGTCCCTACTCAATGATGACACATCATGCATCTTCGATCAGTTTGGAATTCAATTGTTGGTAGCACATACGTTTGCAAAATCAATGTCATTGGAGTGGCATGATGCTTGTTTTCCAACGATCGGTAACAGCAACAAATGATTGCTTCTTGAATAATCCCATTGAAACAGACGCTACACTGGACCCCGAGCCAAGTTTCGGCCCAATGAATTTGATTCCTTTGCGGTTTTGCTCACGTGGAACTATGGCGCATGTCGAAACAGCAACACCCACCAACAATCCTCTCCTCCGTTCAGAATGAATGGTTTTCCACGAGGTCAAGGTTGCAATGAGCCTTGTTCGAAGAGTCAAATGCGAATATTATGTTAGCAGGGATGCACCCACAAGAGAGACGCGACAAATCAAACACAATCAGCTATCGCATTCAAATCTGAACTTGACTTCTTCTTGGCTCCGACTTTGGCTGTATAGCACACATTACACTTTCACGCGGATGGAGATCACAGAACGTCACACAAGCAGAATCAGCAACGAACCAACAGAGTTCGGTCCTCCTCTCAACTGGCGGAGCTTTTGCGGAGAGAACCGTAACTATGTTGCAGGATGTGACCTTGCTGATACGACCGCACAACACATGCTCTCTCTGACGCGGCTTGTCTACGTTCCACGTTCACTGACTGCAACTATGAAGGGGACAAAGAATCGCGGCTGTCATTGCGTTGAAGGACAACCAACGACGAACACATTTTTAAATGCTCGACGGCGGGAGTTTTCAGCCAAATGGAATATATCGGCTCGGCCTCATTTTTGAGCCTTGGAAGGCGTGGCGCGTCACGGATGTACTGGAGGGGGGCAAGGTGTTTGCCATGGGATCCTGTTGCAAAGCTGACCTGGAAGGCAGCTCAGCCGAACTAACAAAATGCAATCCTTGATTTCTCGGATCCAGTACAACGTCGCTCAATACCGGTAGTTGAGGCATCTACGGTATGCCGCCATCCATGATGCAGGACGATTGAATTCAATCATTCGATTCATCGTCCGTGAGCTAAAGTTTACCCTCTTCCGTTGTCGCGTACACTGCTGTACCGGTACAGTGTATGGCTCACGTACCGGTACGGTATGCTTATGACAAGGAGCTGCCCAAAGGTTGATGCTTGATCACGGTATGGTACCGGTAGGTATCATTCTTTGTTCGGTGAACGCTTCAATCGATCATGCTTGTGGGTTGGGCCTGTTGCTGAGAGTGTTCTAGTATTTGTTCTGCGAGGAAGACGGGAGTTGACAACGAACAGAGACGTGTTTCCAATTAGTCAGGCGTATTTTAGATCTAAATTTTGCTGACTGGCTGTGTTTTGTTCCGAACTACCTAGCTAGTTACAGTACCATAATGTGACAGTCCACGAGAGAAAGGTGCACAAGATTTCTTTTAGGGTGGCTGAGAAGACAGACAGCAGATCGCTACTGACTTCCACTGGAAGATTTGGTTTGGTCCTCTAGCTCTAGAGATCGTCATCGCTCAAGGGGCTAGGCATGGCCCGATGTTTGAAACCATCGGGTTTCTTGGCTTTGACAATACGACGTCGCGGCGTTCGCGTGGCACCATCAAAATGGCTTGTCGGCACATGGTTTTGACTCTTGCGACTTGGGTAGGGATACTCCTCCAAATCAGGGACGCGAGAGGAGTTTGCGGCAGCTCCAAAGCTTGTTTCTGCGGATCGTGTCTGCTGGAAAAGCCCTGCCTCCAAGTCAGGGACACGAGAAGAGTATGCGGATGCCCCAAGGCTTGCTTCTGCGGCTCGTGTCTGATGGAAGAACCCTGGAACGTTTGAACCACTCATCGTTGCGCCATTGTTATGACGATTCACAGGCGCGTGCTGTTGCGCCACAGTCGGTTTGGGTGCACCGAAAAACGGATTCTCCTTGCGAGCTTCCGAAGGTGCCCCAAAGATGCCGCTGGAATGTCGTGATTGCTGGAATGTAGCGGCACTCAAAAACGGGTTGTGGCTATGCTTTTTGGCCTCCGCAGTCGCACTAAACAATCCGCTGGGATGCTGTGTTTCCGGTTGCTTCAATTTAGGAGGGGGATTACGAGACGCAGCAAACTGGTGAGTTGGCTTGGCACGTTCCTTGCGTCGTTTCGTTGGTGTTGGTTCACTGGTAGGACTGTAGCGGGGAGAAGTAGCATTCTTCTCATAGCCAGGAGGCAGAGCGAATCCCCAGGATGAACTAGTAGGAGAAGCGTCTTTGTTGTCTGATTTGGTGGCCTTTTGGTTGGGCGAGCTTCCATTTACTGGCGATGTGACAGTCGCAGTAAAAGCCTGAGAAGTGCCGGTCGTGAATTGGTTGTTGTTGCATGGTGGAATAGGAAACCGACTAGAGGTCCTTCGATGTTTGCTGGAACCCGGAGTCGTTGGCTCGTCTTCTGGAATGGGTGATTTATTGGCAGTTTTCTTGAAAGGATGAGCTGCAGGTTGAGGCATGGGTGGAATCTTGGTTGCCTTCTTTCGGGCAGGAGTTGCGACATCGTCGGCGGTAGTTTTGTTGTTCCCCTTGGATTCTGTTTCATTGCGATTGCCCGATGTAGATGTTGTAGCTGTTGGTTGCGACCGCTCTTCCTTTGATGCTTCCGGAACTGTTGGTTTGGTTCCCTCTGTTTGTGATGGCGCAGGTTTCACGGTAGTCGTCGTCTGGTGTTTGGTGTTTTTATTGGGAGCCACGTTCTCTTCCCCCAGAGATGCAACCGTCCCGTGTTTGGCTGGTCTCTTGACGGGTGTTTGCTCTTCTTTTTTGCTATTGTTGTAGATTGACAAATGCTCTTCTTCCAGTGTATCGCAAAATTCCGCCCATGTTGCTGCTTCGTCATTTGCCACTGAAGTTTGGAATTGAATGTCTCCCCGGACATGATCTGGTAGATATTGCTGCAAATTGTGACTGGCTCGAGCGACCCGCGAAAGAGCCCTCTTTTGCGTGACCACCCCGTCCACAGTTCCCGCTACCGTCGGAATGGCCGCTGTCAAGAGCATGTCCAAGGACGATTTGCGAATGGTTCCATCATCACCGCCAGACAAGTCTTCCAAATACTTGATCATTTGTACCACTGGTTTGACGCGAGGATTCTTGAGAATTTCCCGCAGAGCCGATTTGGGGATACTATTATTGCCGCGACTGGAGACTTGGTTGGTTTGTGTGACAAGGTGAAGAAAGGCTTGATCCCAGCAATCTTCTGGAGATGCTTGCTGCAATTTCTCCACGGCCACATGGAGCTGTATCATGGAACTCATCAAATGAACGGCTGTATCGGAGCGGCTGAATTTGCGGTGATTGTGGTTGTGGTGATGGTCTGGAACAAAAACAAAAGATGAAGAATGGAATACAATCGAGTGAGTTATAAACAGGACAAGCCAATTCATCGCCATTATTTCTATTGCTGCTGTACTTACGACGACGAGACGACGACACCCCCGATCGTTGTTGCCCCGAAGAAACAGCGGCAGCACGGTTGTTGCCATTTATTGCCTTGGATGACTCCTCAGCGTCATCTTCCTTCCCTGCCTGTTTCAAGGCGCCTTTGTTTGTCGGACTGCACATCTAGATATCTTCTAGCTATGTAGCTCCTGTCTTCCTTCACCAGAATGATGACAACAACGTCAATCGCCGACGCTGGGTTTTCGTGGGAAGCGTTGACGCATTCCCCCTTGGCTTGACGTTTGGGTTCGTTGTGTTGTCCGAGATGATTGACAGCTACGTGTAGTCTCATCCATGACGCACAGATGCTCAAAATCAGCCAACGGCGCCAAATTTTCCACCCGGCGCGCCAACAGAGTTCCAGTCCAGTCACGAAGGAAGGAAGTCTTGGAGAGACAAGATCTTGCCCCAGCATCAAAGAACTCACGGCAATGCAATTCGACGAAGCCATCACTTCTCCTTCCGCACACAACAACAGATAACACCCCTCACAAACCTTTCAATAAGACAACAAAGAAGAAGATGTCGACGAAAAGCAAGCGAAAGAGCGAAAGCGCTGCCACTAAAAAGGGAACCAAAAAGCCTCGCAAGGGCAACAAGGAAAATGAAACCGTTCTCGAAGTGATGGATCTTTGTGGACAAGGATTTTTGTCGCCATCGGATCTCATGACATTCTTGGAGAAGCAATATCCACCCAGTATCCAGAAATTAAAGACGACCAAGAAATTCTGCATCCAGACGGATTCCTTTCCTCGTGGTTGCATGCAAGTTCTATTGGATCACATTGGCGAATCGCACCACCAAATTGTGGAGTTCCAGCATCACTACGGCATGGTACGCAAGTATCAACTCCAGAATGCCGATCTCAAGCTTCTCCTCAAGGAACATGGAGGTTGGTTGACCAGTTTGCGATTGGTACCACAGTCACTCAAGCTGGTTGCGACAGTTCCTCCCGCGCCCAAACTCCAAGGATGCGGCTATCGCTGGACGACGCTACACGCGCGGAGCTTGCATGTCTTGGAACTGCCTTTAGCAAACGATACCAAACAACAATTGTTGGATGGGACGCGCAAGACGCCGCTTCAGTTGGACCAGTTGGAAGAATTGGTGCTCCGCCATGTCGGATCCAACACGACACGCGATCAATTGGAAAATCTGTTGGCCAATGCTCCCGTGCTGGGTCGTCTGGTCGTGCAGGGAGCCAGCATGGGGGATGATTTGGAGGCATTTCTAGTCGCCAAAGCCAAAGAACATGGAAAGGATGATTTGGAGATTGAAATCCATGACTAACTGCGTTTTGGTTGAGCAGCAGCAATCAGACAAAGCAGACATGATGTAGGGGAAGCAAGCAACGATGATCTTGGTTAGAGTCCGTCAGTTGTCCTTTCTATTCACGGGGTCGATGGAACCTGGCGGGGAATGACTCCATTCGGAAGAATCTTAGGGTCCAGAGACGTATCTCGCTACCGGTAGGCGTTGACCCTCCTGCCGCAAAGAAATTCAATACATAGATAAGAGTCAAACAAACATTATTAATCTAATTCCTCCACTGAGCAAAGTGAAGGCATCATCTTGCCAGCTACGGTGATGCCAACTGTATCTCTCCCTTGACCGACCAGCAGAGCCCGTCTGGAGAGGCCTTCGGCTGGTACTGGCTAGAGGTCAAATATCTCTAGCACCACCCGAGATCTTCAGCGCTTCTATTCGTTGCACTTCCTTTACCGCTGTGTACTTGTCAAGAAGACATGGCAGTGCAAATGAAACGGGGCTGCTGGTCGTTTCAACTCAGCTCGGAGCTGGTCAAAGAACACATCCTGGTCAACTGGCTGAAAGCTGGCCAGGAAGGAAGGAAAATCTAACCGGGTAATGTCCATCAACCATGAACGGATTGAGCCGAATAAGGTACTGCAATTGGGAAGTACGAGGGCAGCATGAGCAGCAAAATTGGACGCATCAAACTTGAAGAGGTTTTATTTTACTTTTTTATGTGAACCTGCTACATGATGTTGCGTGGATCCACACCGTGGGCCGTGGAATAAAGTGAAAATTTCAGCCTGGTAGCTCAAACCGTGTACGGTATGGGTGGTACCAGTACCAGTAGTGACAAACGCAGCGGTTCAGCTGCAAACCCTGCAGATCCCCCGCCCAGCTGGTCAATTATTCTCCCCTTGCAACCTTTGTAGGCCATCAACCATGAGAGGACTGTCGTTCACCATACGTTTACTGTTGGGAGCGTCCTTGGCCAGAAAATCCTGCTCCTTCTCTCCACATTCTTCGTCTTTCAAAAGAGGATTGTCGCATCCTGTCGATAGGCTGTTTCCTCCATCACCCACAATAGAGCAGTACCAAACCAAAAGCAAACAAATCCATTGCAGTTTTGCCAAACCAAACAAGCGGCCAACGGTGAGTCTTTTGATCCGCCATCACTGCGAGTTGTTCTTTTGGGAGGAGCTCACCTTTTGTCTCCTCAGAATGCACAATCACCCAAGAATGTCAACAACGCAGCCATGAACTTGGTGGATGCAGTGACTTCAACAGTTGGGTCCTCACAGCTATCCCTGCAAAATAAAAACAACCAGCTTCTCGCGGACATCAAGACCAAGGTTGTAGCTCTGGAGAAAGCCACACGGGAAGCCAACAAAACAGCTCGTGAGGCAGACAAGATGCGCCGCATCGAGTTTGCACTGGAAAATGTCTCTTTGGTTACCTACAACTTTCAGGTGTATGTTATGACCGAAAGGGGGCACACATCAGATCAGAATGCAGATGAAGTCCTAAGCGATATCTTGCTGTCATTTAGGCAAGGCCGTGGACATGACATTGACAGTTACATTAGTGGAGTTACAAAAGAAAAAGGGTATGATTCATTTTATGGTTATGCCGAAGTGAAGGAAGAATGGTACCAATGTTTTGTGGACAAAGTAAGTGACAAACTCTACAAGTTACTAGGCCACAAGCCAAGAATTGCACCTGACAGTAAGGGTACAATGTATGTTTGGTACCAGTAGATAAATGAACATTGTTGTATCCATATTGTAGTGTTTAACGTGTAGTTCCTACTAGCTAGACCTATCAATAATACCATCTGGTGGGTCCATCACCCTTTTCCGAGGTGGCCAGTCTTCGAAATTGTCGTTTTCAGTGGATTCGATTCTCCAACCTTACTGGAATCTTCGTTTCGTCAGCTCGAAGAATGGATCCAGTGCTCCAGGGAATATATATATATATATATAAAGCCAACTCGATATCACTCCTTGCTCAATCTTTCGTTTCATCGACAAGCTAGTCCATTTTGGGTAAATAATCCTTCCACTTTAACGGCAATTTGTGTCGCAATGTCGGCTCTCCCGTTCTGGGATCGTCAATGATATGTTGCTTCAACTTGATTCTCTTTTGCGCCGTGGTCTTCATGCGCTTTTTGGATCGGGTAACCTTTTTCTTGGGAACGGCAAACCACAGGGCATCGGACCAAATGCTATCCTCATTTGGATCCATCAGAGTGTCGTCATGCTGGCCCACCAAGAGAGGGCGACACGCCGATTGACGAATAAAGGGTTGCGAAAAGTGATGGCAGAGCCGTAGCGTCCACTGCGAGAGGCTTTGTAGAATCATGAGTGGTCAACGGTGTAATGGAATGGAATGGAACAAACGGACAAGAGATAGATGACAACCAACACTCTTGAGAGGAGGCGCTGGAGGAGTGAGAGTGTTGCGGATGTGCGGCCATCGTCGCTGTTGAGTTAACCCCATCCTTATCCTTGCTGGTAAGATGATTCTCTGTTGAAAAGGTGTGAACTTGAACGCACAATTTCTCTAATTTAATCAATATCCTTCCAGCTCTACTGTCTAGTAGACTGGCTATTCGTTTCGTTTTTCTCTTTCTCTCTCGTTCAGATTGTTATTGTGAGCTCTACAACTGAGCTCCGATATGCATACATGTACCAGGATCTTTCGATCCTCTGCTTCTCGCAGTTTCATCTACAGATAGATCTCGTCGATCTATCTTCCTGAAGTGCATGGTTGGCCCTGGAGGGCTTTCCCACTTTACTAAACCTATGGACCTTCATCCGTCCATTCATTTGCTCCATCCCGTCGCTCCTTGCATTCATCCTCGACCTAACTTCCTAACCTTTGTAGTTGCATCATCTAGACGACCATTTCCTCGTTCCTCGTACACCTGGCCATCTGATGATGATCGGATAACCATCTGATTTGAGTCACACATCCCCAATCACGAACCGGATTGTGGATCCCGAGTCGTCTGTCCGTCATACGAAAATACCTTTCTGAAACCCTTCCTGTTTTCGCGATGATGGCAGGACCTTCTTACCAACTCAAACCAATTGTCCTTGTCTCCTGTTAGTTTCGGTGCATGTCTGTCGAGGGTCTCGACGTTGACATTCTTGGTTCCAATGTCGCTCACTTGTCTTCCGAGCGAACAAAATCAATCTTCACTAGGCGTCCTGCTGCATTTGATTCACGTAGTGCCACCTCGTATCCATATGCCTTGTTCGACTTGCACTTGTCTTGTTCTCTGACATTAAGATAGCACCTACGTTATCGATCTTCATTGCACAGGTAGTTCCACGTTGATCTGTAGGAACTTCAGAATTGGCGATGAACGGGACTTCTCGTACTGCTTCGCCACACGCGTAGAACTCACTTCGGAACTCGACAATGCTACGACCTTCTGTAGCTTGGACCTCCAGTGAATGAGACACCTTCGAGAAAGATCATCATGGACGTGACTGATCTTCTGTTGTTCTTGTCTCCGGCCCAATCCGAATCCGAGAATACTTCCAATTTCCACGGTCCTTCGTTCTTCTCTGGTCTCATCAAAAGTCCACGTTCCTTGAGTCCAACACGTACTTTACACAGCGTAGCATTTCCTTGTACGCTGCGGCTCTTGCGCATCCCAAGACCTTAGCTACTCTCGTACTGCGTTCGAGATTTCTGGCTTGAATGCTTGATAGGTACATGAGCATGCCTACTCCTGTTCGATATCTGCTCTGTTGTTCTTCGCGATCCATTCGCTCTGTTCGTCTGTCTTTACTATTCCGAGTCAAGGTGTTCCCGCAGTCTTGTACTTGGGTAGCTTCTGTACCTCCTCTCCGAATGTGGTTGAATCTTCTTAATCATGTGGGGTTGTCCCACCCATGCAGCATCCTTTCGGGGATTCATCCGATCTCACAGCTCAGGTAGTCCGTAGTTCGTACTCTATGTCATTTTCAAGCCTCGATCTTTAATCCCTTGAAGCACTTCCTTGATATCGTCTTCTTCTCCAATGGTGAGATTGTCATCCACGTAACATAGAATCACGCATATCTTCCGTTCTTGTTCCGCATGAAGAGGCATGGATCACTAGACATGTAACGAATCCTAAGTCTTCCCAGACACTCGCAAACTTCAATAGTACTGTCGTGCGCTCTGCAAGCACCATAGATGGTCTTGTCCAGTATGACACATTCGTCGTCTTGGTGTTCTAGTCCTTTTGGGCAGTCATGTAGATGACTACGTCCATGTCTCCATGTAGGAATGCTGTCTCAATATCGAAGATAATTGCTTTCGTCTCTTCCAATCTTCTTTAGTAGTAGAATCAAGATGATGCGGAAGGTGATGTCGTTAGCCACCGGACTGTAGATTTGCAAAATCAATTCCGGGTACCTGACTGTACCGCAGGCCACCAATATAGCTCTGAATCTTCCATTCCGCTTGATTTCCAGCACCCAATTTGTGTTTGACACAGTCTCCCTTCCTCCTTCTTGATCTCTTGTGTCTTGCGCCAGACCTTGAGTTCTCCATCTTGTCTAGCTCGCCTTTGATCGCCTCCCTCCACATCTCTCGCTGAAATGGTTCCGGGTGGTCCCAAGCTTCCTCGAACGTGCTTGGCTTGGTGAACAGATACTTGTACTTTGCTGGATCCTGGTCCTTGGGTCATATGCGAGAGTCTCTTGATCAATGGATGCCTGTCCTAGTCCTCCCGTCAAATCTACTTCTGATGCCGTGTACCCAAACTCCATCCAGTCTTATGTGCGTTCCCAAAACGTTCTGTCATGGAATCGGTCGAAAAGTTTTGCCATTTCTGTCATGGTCGTGATTCCGGTTGTTATGCTGAGCTGTTATCTTGTCTTCGCTCCTTCGGATGCAATGTTCGAAAGTGCTTGCATGAGGGAGCCCCCGTCATGAGGTTGTACGCCTGCTAGCTTGTCCAGTGTCTGTAGGGTCCTGGGGGTTGTAGCTCGAACTGAGTTTCTGTAGTTCCCCGTTGCCTTGGATAGTTTGGTCGCGACCGGGTCAGGTTGGTTGGCTGTTGGGATGCGAAACTTTATTAATCTTCTTGTTTTCTAGTGTGATTGCTCCTGCTTTGGTAGTCTTCGTGGGCTTAAGAGCAGATCATGAGAGTTCGACTCCCGTGTTTTCTGTAGGTAGGACGCTGAAGAGATTTTGTCTTTTCCAATATGTGTGAGTTCTTTCTCTGTGCTGGGTAAGACCATACCCTTCCATTCGCATACGTCTTGTCCATCCAATCACATGGCGTGTGAGTACTTGTGTCCTGTGCGATATTGTACATCTTGTACGTGTCTGCAATGTGATTCCGTGCTCTTCCAAGATAAGCATAGGTATCCGCGATCTTGTAGTTTTCCCTTGATCTTCCAACAAACTTGAAAAAACGTATCCAACTTCTCCGTATCGTCGCAACTTGGATAGTTGTGGAATGTCTTCTCCATAGAACATCGGTAGCTTGGATTTTCATGAGATGTCTGACTGTAGTACATTCTCAACGTCAGTGACGTGCAGACGCATCTCCGTAGAGAACTTTCGTTGCTTCTCATCAAAACCGGGTTCGTGGAACAATGCCTTCGATTCGAACGCGTGCTACTGCAATCCACGTTCTAGCCTTTCCTTCTGTTGAGGCGTATCCGTCCAGTTAAGCTCAAACCTTAACCCGTCTCAAACATGGTTTAACGCGTTTTCACATTCCGTCATCAGTTTCTGTTCTTCTCCTGCATTGTCCATCCGGATGTAGTGTACTGGAGTGCCCCTGCGATCCATATCACTCGAATGAAGTTCTTTCCTTTAAGGATGACATCGCGTTTGGTCTGAATGATCCTATCTCTATCGCATACTGGTAGCCATATCAATGATCGCCAACCAATACTTCCTCCCTTGGTATGACGTGCCTTCATCCACAACGAGGTACTATAAAATATTCGTTCTCAAGGATCTCTGATGTTCGTTGATAGTGTCCTTGGCTACGGGTTGCTTGTTTTCTCGTCCTGTCTACAGTGAGAACATGGTTCAAATGTCATGCGCTGGCTTGCGTAGTGCCGCTTTGATGTCGCTTTTGGTGGGGGGTCTTTAGCTTTTCGTTCCCTTCTGGGTCCGTAGCGCCTTGGGTGTTTGGTTGTTGGTGCGTCATTCACTGAAAATATACTGGTGGCCTTTTTCTTTTTTGTGTAGCTTCTTCCTTATGCTTCTACTATCCTTATCTTTGGGCGGCTTTTTCTCTTATTGGCTTTCTGGGGGAGTGCGTTAAGTGCGTGATCGGGTCCACTCGTTAAACATCATCGCCTATCGCATTGGTTATTTTTTTTTTTTTTTTTCCCCAGTGCTTCTTGGGTGGGGATTTCATTGGAATTTTTGACCCCCCCCGCAGTAACTTCACCCTTACTTGGCTGTTTGTTCCGATTTGGGCGTTTCCGCAGTGTCACTTGGCGTAGTCTCTTCAGTCGCCTCGAGTCCAGTGTCATCCATGCATGCATAGCTGCTTTCTTGTGGCATGTCCTGTGGGAAGAGATCATTGCCGCAAAGATATCCGTTTTTGGTTGAGTTAATTTTATCAAAGAATATTCGTTTGTTGCGTTGCTTCAAGACAATCTTGGTTCTTTTATTCGAGATGCTCCAAACCTTCTGGATTGCCTTGACCAAACTAAATAAACATACCACCAGCAAAAGATACACCAGGTTGGGGACAGACCACTTGTTATAAATCCAAGCGTAAGATGCGAGGGAACATACTCGGACGCACGACAGTTGTCAGGTTCA